GGGCTCTGTGCACAGAGGGCTGCAGGAGCACTCCAGTTTCATCACTGCAGCACCCTCCTCCTCTTTCACTGTCTGAGGAAATAATTTCAGTTCATCCCCCTCCACTGCATCCTAATAATTCCTAATCCCTCACTCATCTTAATTTCATGTCTTCTCTTCTCTCCTTGCCCTCTGTGTTTCCCACCCTGTTCTTCTATCATCTGCAGGCTGAAATAGGCCCAGCAGCAGCTTTTCTCTGGGCCTTTTGTCCCTGCTCAGGGAGACGTTTGGCACACAGAGGATCGTGTTACAACTTTCATTTCCTGAATATTTTTCCTTTTTTTTCTGTGTGGAAACCAAGAAGGGTATTTTATCCTCCTGCTCTGCAGCATGAAGATGAAGGGCGAGGGGAGCGAGATGGCAGCTCAGATTCGGGCTGCTGTCACTCCAACGTCGGCAAACAAATAAAGTACAATCTGCACGTAGCTCCAGGGTCCTGGTGGAGCGTAGCTGGGCTGTGGTTTGGGCACAGCGGGGGTGTGGATCGTGTGTGTGAAGTAGGGGGGCTTGGTTACTTGAGATATTTGTGAGCCCCAGGATAGGTGAGGTGATGCCCTTTGGGAGCGTGAGGTATATTTCATTATCCCATATCCCATACCACTTCCTCTTGTTGTGTCTGCCACCCCTGCCCCTCCCATAAAAGCCCGTTCAGCCAGAGCAGGGATGTGTCTGTGTTTATACCTGGGGATCTTTCTTGGCTGGATATAGAAGCAGAACAACAACCAGTAAAGTGGTAACAGTCTGCACAATTATCAATTATTAATCCTGTTGTGAAATAATGCCTATTATATGAGACCAAACCTAGTCACTATGGCTCTAGTTATGTCTGGCTCCTTAAATACAGCTGTTTTATGTTCAGTAATAAAAAGACTATGCTTGAGATGCTTTTTTGTGAATTTTTAATTTCATTTTTTTTAACGTCAGTAAATGAACTTCCCAGGATAAGGCTGGCATTACTCTTTATTTGTCCAAAACCAACAATGTCTTACTCCATCTTTCAATAATTTGGGACTTTCCATTGCTGCCTCTGGCTCTCAGCTCATGACTTAAGTCAAACATATAGTTTTCTTTTTTTTTAAAGATTTAGTGATTTCCTAAAACATCTGGGTACTGTAGTTTTTTATAAAATGTTACTCAAACAGAAGTAAATTGTGCATTTGTTAGGGACTACTTTCCCCCATGGATTAATCAGTGAGAATGTATGCCATCAGGACAGTGTTTGTTGGATTGACTCAAACTTCAGCGCATAGTCAACACAATGAAGGAACATGTCACCCAGTGCAACTGTGTGGCTCAATGATTTGTTTTTTTGTTTTTTGGACAATGATAAAGCTTTGGATACACAGACAATACATGTGAATGGAATCAATTCATTGTTGGTTTGAGTCTTTTTGTGGGATTTGTTGAGAATAAGTAACATATAGAATATCACCAGACATCTGCTTTAAATTAAAGCAGATTTATCTGTCTTTCTATTTTGTTTGTGCTCTTTATGATCTGATTTACATCTTTTGCATTTAAATTGAATATGAGACTATCGTTTAAAATTCAGCCTCTAAAAGGGACCCAGATTATATTAAACAATGGTCTCTTTTCTAAAATGTAAATCAGTAACTTATTACGTTTTACACCTATAATGAAACTATCAATACTTCAATTGATGTACAGTAGGACATAGAACTCTGTTTACAGTTTCTTAACCTGCTTCAAACTCTGCATACATTCAGAGCATCAGTTGTGTATTAATCCGCAGCTAAAAATATTCCCCAATAAGCACTATTTATTTATGATTGAGTAACGTTTGCTAAAAACTACAGTGACCAGCTATTTGTGAGAATTGTAGAACCTTTTTACGAAATTAAACTATTGTTTGTGACCGTTTTTTAAAGATGTACATCTTCAGTAGGAACCAATCGGCTGAGAGCCACAAACATCCAACGCATTGCTGGTTTTGGTCTTTTCATTGTTTTGTTTTTTGACGATAAGAAATGTATCGAATAAACACCAGTCTTAACCTATAAAGATTGCAAAAAGCGATAATACAATTGTTCCTTTTCTAAAATGTAAATGTTCTTTGCGGAACATGCTATGGATTAGATATCTGCACCTGTACTTTTATTTCCACTTAAGCATGCTTCTCCTGCCCCCTACTTTAAGTTTCAATCTTTTCTTTGTCTCTCCTTCATCACACATTTATGTATCCCATCACAGAGAAATATTTACAGTTGAATTATCATATTGTAGTGTTGGATAGAATACAGATCTGTTTTAATTTGGCTTTGAAGGGCTGTAACTTACTAAGAAAATCTGTTTAGTCCTCACAAATGTATCCCAAAAAACATCCCAGACTGAAGTCACTTTCCTGATCAAACATATGAGACTAATGCCACTATCAGCTTTCTCTCCAGGCTCCAAAAATATACATATCTGATTTTTAGCAACCAGAGCTGGGTTTTGTCTCTGGAGGAGAACAAGATGGTTTGTTATATGAGCCTTTGCCTTCTGGCCACATTTTCTTCTTTTTTTTTTACACTAGTCCTCTATCGTAGACATTACACACGTCTTATCTTGTCCTTTTGTCTTTTCCTCTTGTAACATATTACAAAATATCCCTCCTTCATCAGGTAATGTATATGATGCTGTCCTTCATTTGACACACAACATGCTATTTAACACCCTAATAGGTAGGGATCGTCTGCAGAGTCTCCTTCTCCTCGTGTCTGAACTCTGGGTCATACATCACTCATCCGACTGGAAGAAAGAGATAAATATTTCTCTCAGCTCTGTCACATAGGAGCTTCCTGTTAGGACGAAAAGGCTTCCTACTCTCTGGCTCGCGGCTCCCACATCAGTATAATTAACATTTCTCAGACGCAGTAGCATAATCCCTCTGATCTCTTTATACTTATGTCATATAGAAATAAAGCAGACGCCTGGCCCTGCCATCTAGAATTTTCTTTACTTTAATCAGTTTTATTTCTACTGATACCCACAAACTCCAAGTCACCCCCCCTCCCCCACCCACACACACACACACACACACACACACACACACACTGCATCTGCCTCTGGGTACGTCCAGGCAGGAACATTGTCAGATCCATGCATCATTGGTAAGAAAATCTCTCTACCCCCCCACACACCACCGCCCCTCCTGCCCCTCTGAGGCAGACCTGAAAAGATCCTTTTGTCCCTCATCACCCGCCTGCTCCACTCTCTCCCCCGTCTCCCCTGTCTCCCCCCTCTCTGACACACACCCCTCATACAGCCTGTGGTTACGGATACCTGGGACTGTCTCACACCCGGCTCCTGTGTGGGGTAAAGCTACCTGCAAGCACCAGACCATGGAAAGGCAACCAAAAGTTCCTCATCTTTGGTTTTTGTCCTTATAGGAGATGCCCACTGACTCTGATGCCAGAGAAAATATTAAGCCAGCTGAGGCCGACGGCGCAGGCTCACGCCGACTACTCTCCATGTTTATTTGCACACGTCAGGGCCCTTCCTGCTGTTGATTTAGAGACACTGCCACTTACGCCTATGAGAAATGAAATGCCCTTTTGATGACTCAGACTCTGTTTGCCATCAGCAGCTGTTGTTGTTGGCACCGGCCTGCTACAGGCTGACGTTACCTCCAGCTTTTGTCATCTAGTCTATAGGCTGGAGCACGCCTACCATTTGCACTTGTTGCGTGGCTGATGAGAGGAAGACACAGTGGCTGATACAGCAGATAGATTTATGGCTGCAGTCGTTGTCCCTCCGGATTCGAGAAGCGAGGGATTCGAGCGTGATTAAAAGCACTGTCAGAGTTTCCGTATCGGATTGATTTTAGTCTCTTGCACATCCTGAAGGTGACTCTGATAGCCTCCCTCTGTCATGTGGCACAGAGCCTTTTTAATCCTTGCTGTGTCTGTACCCTGCCGGACATGTTGTCCTTAGATTAACAGGTATGAGGAGTCTCTTTGCTGGCTTTGTGATCACCTGTTTGTTAATTTGTGAATATTTAGCCACACTGAGTGCCAAGGACACGTGCTGTTGTCAGAACTACAGTATATATGATCTGCAGGACCTCTGCTCTCTGCTGACCTCTGCTGAATGTGGCATATAGGCAATATTGTTCGATTCACAGGTATGGGCTGTTATAAACGTTGTTATCCTAACGTACTGCTACATACAAGTTAAACCATTTGTTTATACAATAAATTCAATTGTCCTGGACAAACTTGTGAAAATATCCCTTAATGCTTTCAATTTGATATTTCAAAAATACAGCTGGTCATATAATCTACATTGTGACTTCTCCATTAAGATAAATAAAATATAGATAATCATCTACATCTACATGTTTTGTTTAGCTTCTTCGTCAGGAATAATTTTGTAAGAACACATATGTCACATGTTTGTTGGCATTTTGAAGTTAAACTCATACTTTCAGCTTGAAGGTAAAATGCTAAATGAAATCTCACCAGTGGTATCAAGTACAGTAACATGAAATCAGACCACACCCACAAAATACGGATAAAGCATATAGGAGTTTGTGAGTGTTAAACACTTAATAAGTAATACCTACCTGCGTTTTTTCTTAACTTTAACTTTTTTGCCAGAAATATTTAATATTACAGAACAATATTTTTAAACTAATAAAGTTCAAGAATATACTCGAGTATTTCCATTTAATGCTACTTTTACTTCTACTTCTAGGAAATATACTTACTAGGAAATATACTTTTTATTAAATTTAACTGAACCTTTATATTCATGAAAAATACAATGCATTGTTATAGATTAAACAACCAAACATATAAAATAACGACATTTTTTTTGCATTTGCATCTGTAATAATTATCTCAATAATAGCATTCTAATAACAAAAAACATTTTTTTTCTGCTAATGACTGTATTTTTAGATAACATTTTGAATGCAGGACTTTTACACGATATTAACTATTTTAAAATGTGGCTAATTGTACTCAAGTAAATGATCTGAATGCTTCTTCCACCACTAACTCTCATATATTAGATTAGAATTGTAAAAAGAAGAAACACTGACCAAAAAGCCTGATGATGGAAGGTCTGCTGAGGACATTCAGACAGTCACATCACTCAAACACAACCATATGGATCTCCTGTAGGTGATAGATGGGCAGCACTGCCTGGTGTTTTTAGTAGACCTGAGGGGTTCAGAGAGAGAGAGAGAGAGAGAGAGAGGGGGGGGGGGGCCTCTGAGATGCAGAATACCTCAAGGTCCCTCCACTGAAGCCGGGCGTTGCAGCCCTGCAGCCCTACAATCTTTGCAATCAGGCGGTAATGCTAGCAGCGACTGTTTCAGATTATGCTCAGGAAATCCTCTGTGCTCTCTGCTCAAAACAATTTACCCTGACATGAGCCCAAAGAAGAGTGTAGGGGGTGGGGGACAAGAGAGCTGTCCTCACCAGATTCCTGCTCTCAGGCCACCATATTCTCATATTCTGTCCTACAAATAATCACTTTATTTATTAGTATTATTATCACATTGTTGTTGTTTACGATGGAAATTATTATGATGACCTCTATAAGAGTGGGAGTGTCTGCTAACAACCCTGCTAAAACTAATATTTTAGCAATATGTCTGTATGTCTTATTATAGCCCCTACAATTTGTTTTGTTTTGTTTGTAGGACATATTGATTTCATAAGGCAGTGGACTTTAAACTTTTTCATATGGGATGTTTGCCATGTTTGTGTCAGAATATCCAGAGCTGGTATATAAAGGTTGAGTAGTGGCTCTTTCCCATGGCCCGGAACCGACAGAACAAACTCTCGGAGAGAGCAAAGAAAACACGGCAACAAAAAGCCAATGATCCGCAGCACTCGGGCTAAAAATGACGAGAAAAAAAACAAAAAAAAAACCACTTTCTCCTCGAGCCAAATACTGTAGTCCTACGTATTAGAGCCACTAAGCAGAAACGATAATCAAAGGAACCAAAGCTGGTTACAACAGCCTCCTGGCAGACAGCTGCTCATGTTGACTCACATTTGTGTAATTAAATTTCCCTTTATGACTCTGTGTTTGAATTCTATGTTTTGAATTATCATTATTATTGTAAAAAAAAACAAAGAATCCGTAGAGCATGTTTAGTGTTCAACACGAAATTACTCATGATGTTTGATCGAGATTCATATCCCACCATTGTAGATTTGATTTGGTCGGCTGCTTTGCATGCAATTTTTTTAAATCATTAAATAAATCAACAAAAGAACAAGGATTTTAATGAGTAAATTAATTACGTTCTTTCCTCCAATTAACGATTAAATAATGGTAAATAATTGTCAATGATTAAAGACCCGATTAATTTAGTTTGTCTGAGGGACAGAATCTAGGACACATTATTGTCTAATTTTTTTTCTCTAAATACACAAATAACACAGAGACAAATGTATTACTTTTGTTTTATTGGAAACTATTACCATGACTCTAATGAAAACGTTACCTCTTAGTTTCCATCGCAGGAGGTTGCTATAATTCTTTTATCTCAACAAAATATCATAAATTAAGCATATGGGCAGTCCAGTTAAGTGTCTCGTTGAGTTAAGAGTTTCAGGCAGGTCCTGTTTGTGTGTTTTCATGTGCAGGAGATGAGAAAAGCTCCTGTCAGTGGGGATATACAGGTTAAGCGCATAAAGGAATTTTGTTCTAACCAAATTTAACGACAGACAAGTCAGTCTATATTATAAGGTGGGCTATAGTGTTATTTAATTAATGTTCTCAATCTGATACACTTATCAGTCTTCTTTTTGGGGTTTTTGTTGTTGTAAAATAGAACAATCTGGCAGCCTCTTTAAGAGCCCAAATCCACAAGACTGGAGGTTAGAGGTCCCAACAAGGAGTCCTGCAGTTGGTGCGGGTGTCCGTGCATGCTGTGGACCGGCTGAGGGGGCCCCAGGCCGGACATGGGGTAAGCGGAGGCCCCGGGGTGGTTCATGTTGCCCTGAAGCAAAAGCGCTGAGTTCTGGTCGGGGCTCTGTGGTGGAGAAAACTCGTCCTCCGAGCTGGACATGAGAGACTTTCCTCCGTCCAGCGGGGACAGCTGGTTCTGTTTGTTGCCGCCTGCGTTGCTGTTTTCACTGTTCTCTCTGGAAACGACAACAAGGAGGAATGAGAGAAAATATACGCACATTTTGGAAGATTAAATCCTCATGTTGACATTATATTTTGGAGGAAAAAGGGCAGCATAAAAGGCAGCTGTAATTATGATTTGTAGTAACTCCAAAAATATAGACTGGTGAGTATAGGCCTAGCCTTGAAGAACAACTAATCAGAGAGGTTTAGTTATTTGCCTTCCCTGTAATTTTGTAAAAAATACTTTATTTCTCCTCATGTTGGTTGATATTTCCCGATAACTTAAAAAATGAAAGGTAAACCACGTGTTAATGTTACTCCACCGTTACCCAGTTTAACCTTTAACACGTACCTCAAAAGTAGAAAGTTGTTGTCCAAAAATGTGCCCATATTGCTTTTTGTATTTCCCACCATTATTAAACATGAGATTATTTTATTTCTGACGCGGATGTTTTTTTTTTAAGATTACATGTTTATGTTACAATTCAGACTCAAGTCAAACGGGACAGATTCTGTTGAAGAAAGTCCATTATTTGTCAACAACACGCTTCTGTTTACCATCACTGTTATCATTTGGGGACTAGACATATCCAACATGTTTTAATTCAAAAAAAAATAGTTAAACTTCTTAAAATAAAAGGATTTCTATCAGAAATACAATTATATTTATTTTCCTATGTTTCCACTTCCTTGCAGTATAGAATACTGTTATTCGTGCACTTTCTGTTGGCTGCTTGTAGCCACATTTTGGCAATATTTCATTCTAACTCGAACCTTAATTTTGCTCTTGAAACATGCAAAAAAGTAAACGTTTTTGTCTGTAAATAACAGGCAGCACTGCGGCTGTGTCAGTTACGTACCTCTCTTTCGCCTCTGCGGCTCTGTCTCGCTGCCGTCTGTTTTTGAACCAGTTGCTGACCTGCGTGGTGGTCAGTCCTGTGGCCTCGGCCAGCTCTCTCTTTTCCCGCGGGGACGGATAGGGGTTGTGCGTGTACCACTCTCTCAGGACGCCCCTGGACTTCTCCTTAAAGCAGTAGCTGGTCTCCTCGCCGTCCCATATTGTGCGGGGCAGCGGGAATTTCCTCCGCACCCGGTACTTCCCTACAGCCCCGAGCGGCCGACCGCGCAGCTTCTCCGCCTCCACGTAGTGCGCCTTCAGCCAGAGCTGCTGCAGCTTCGGGTGGTTGTGCGGAGAAAACTGGTGGCTTTCCAGAATCTTGTAAAGCTCTCTGAAGTTCCCCCGATGAAAGGCCACCACTGCCTTGGCTTTGAGGACACTTTCGTTCTTGTGGAGGTGATCACACGCGGGTAGAGACCACAGGAAGCGGCCGAGCCTCTCCAGGTTTCCTCCCTGCTGCAACACCTCGCAAACGCACGCCACTTGCTCCTGCGTAAACCCGAATGACGGTAATATAGACATGATGTCCAGGCTCACTCCTGCGTCCAAAAACGCCGTTATCCAAAACGATAGCTGTCGTTTGTTTTCTGTGTTTATAGTTTCTCGTCACTACGCAATCCAGCGCAATCCGGACGCGCAGCACAGGCCTATAGGCTATCCTCTCCACTCCAGCCCCTGATGCGCGCAGCAGATTGGGATGTTGATTGTTGGGACAATTTGTTCCTGTTGGAGATATGTCAGGCTTAAAGGGAGCCTGTGCGTTACGGTGATTGGCTCTCCTTCTGCCCTGCACCGTGTACAGCAGAGCAGGACTGAGTTTGCAGCTCCGTTTCCTCCCCAGAGGCAGTGCGTCAGGGGTTGAAATAGGAGCGCTATCCCACCTCCCGCCCCCACAGTCCCTCTCCCGCCGCAGCAGAGGGAGCAGAGACGCACCCAAACACTAATCAATTATTACAGACCTCTTAGAAAGCCATATTAACATGTTCTGAATATACATCTTCTGCAATGGTGGTGGCTATATAGGCTACCGGTTTTCCCACGTGGGTCAAACCACACATTGCATCTCGATACCTTATCGGTAATCACAGTCAGTGGAGGGTAAACCCACAAAAGACACAAAGCTTTTTATCTGTGAGGGGAAGTTTGTCTACGTTTAAGGGCTGAAACACGCACTTAAACCCGCTCACATAATCAACCCATGGCAGTAGCCTACAGATCTTTTTCATAAAAAAAACAACCCACAGTTAAAAATCTTAATTGATTTTTGGTTAGTTTTGTGTTTTTTCCCCAACTGGAGGTTTATTTACCATCACAGCTGATCATGGTTGACGCCCACTAGTTTAATTACATGCAGATTTAACAGTTTGTTGTATCCCCGTGCACCTTTCATTACCGAAGCCGTTTATTTTACGAGGTGATATAATTTAATAAGTTCCTATGATTGTTGGGTACATGCGTGCCATTACGCTCGTCTTTTATATGAGAAACATACCTGACAAACGTGTTATTGGACGAAGACCACCAGGAAGTCAGCCGCAAGAGTGTGTGAGAAAGAGAGGCTGAGATGAAATGCCTCATGGTTAGAGCTCGAGAGACATCTTCAAAATTAGAAATATCAGACAAACACACATCCAGCAGCATTCACACTTCCCGCTCAAATTGGCAAAATAAGGAGTTTCAGAATTTAGACCTATATGTCGAGCAGCAATGTTGTTGGTTAATGAGATTAAGTTTTGTTTTTATAAAGACAATTTCCTCGCTTTGTGTTAATGGATTTACAAATCAATATTAAATACCGTTGAGACAGATATAACAGAGCCCTCGCTCTTTATATTTGTTGTTTTATGCTTATTTCATCACGTGTTTCTGAAGAGGCTGCAGCCTGCAGCCTGCAGCCTACATTTATATTTCAAGGATTAGACGGGCACCGCTCTGGCTCCAGTGTTTTCTGTGGGGTGAAACACTAAACCAATCCATTAGTAAATTAGTTCTCTGCCACACTGGATCTTGGTCGCGCAGTTGTTGGTTTGAGCCATATAGATCACATTTCTTTATCTGCACCAGCGTCTGAAACTAAGCACCCTTTCATTGGGCCTATGTTAAGGAACAAGATTTGACCTATAATATTGAATTTAAACAAATTCACACAAAACGTTTTGAAAAGATTAACCCTTTCTTAACGGATTTATTTCTATACAACTTTTGTTTTTCTGGCGACTATCACCTGAAAAAACAGACATCCACGAGCTGTGGAATATCTTATCTAATGTAACATACATGATTTTATGGACTAATACGTTTACATAGAAAAAAAAGCATTTAGGCTACTGAAAAAATATAATTTGATTTAGGCAGAATGACTATGATAATTTGGTTAGGTGGTTGGATATGCTTATTTTGTGTTGGCCCTAGTGTAAAATAGAAAAAAGGTAAAACTTCATCATATATCCACATTTTTAGCATGATTTATTTTGACTATTTATCAGATAGAAGACAGGAGCTAAACAGCTAATTTCCTCCTAAATGGATGACATGTATCTCACATGATTGCTGAAATGAAAGTTTGTCTGGGGGAAATGTCTGGTCATTGGCTGAATCATGAAGTCACTGTTATTTAACAATACCTGCGAGGGGTATTTGTTTGCAATATTTGTAGCAGTGTCATCAGCCTGCAGACGACTTATAGACGCTGATAATGTCATGATAATGAATAAAAACGTAAATTCTCTTACACATTAATAATTTATATAACAGCCTAATTTTCATGTTTTTAGACAACAAGCCCCTTCATGCCATACTGCTTAAACATGGTTATGTTTGTATATCTTCTAATGTAAATAAACTGTGTCTTTAGTGGACACAGGCTCTCAGGCCACTTGAGCTCGGGTCTATAGCAGCACTCTGCTGTGTGTAAAACCTCAGCGCTTCAGTAAATGAGCTGTCTGATGAGCGGCTCTCGGGTTTCTCTAATATCTCTACCACATTGCGCCGCGCCTCCTCCTTTAACCCGAGCAGCCCGGGGGGCGAGATTATTTCAAGATGTGGACTCTCCGCCTCTAACACGGCCAGTGCTGGGCTCCTCATTCCCCGACAAGTAATGCAATACTTAGGTAGGCTTTCACTCGTTACTCCTCACAAAATGGGACTTGCAGAAGGCAGGGATTCCTTACTCTCGTTATTTTCTCTCCGTTGAACTCCTCAGTTTCCTCCAACAACCTCACTAACTCAGCCTGCCCCTCTCTCTCTCTCTCTCCTGGGGCTCAGGGCTGCTAAATATCATGGATGTTCCAAGTTTTAGTCATTCATGCCTTTCCGGAAAACTCAAAATGAGTCACAATGTTTTAACCGCGAGAAAATAAACGTGTTGCCATTTCCCATTCAACTGTTTAAATGTGAGGTAGGCCGAGGAGAAAGGTGGGCCCTTTGCTTGATGAATTATTCCACCTCATGATAGAAATTTGGAGGGGGGAAATGACTGATTCATTATTGATGGATGCATTGGCTGTGTAATAGAAATTCGTTAGCATTACAGGAAAAAAACGAACGAAATGCAACGGCGACTGTGGGAGAAAACTGGTCTCAACTCAAAGCACCAGAAAACACTTCATAAAAATGTCATCATCAAAAAGTTCGTGTTTCCTCTTGGAGAGTTTATTTTCGTGAAAATCTGAAGGAAAAGTGACCCGACCACTGGCTCACTGAACAGATGGTTTTCACTCTACCTAAATCCAAAGTGCTATTTCAGCTGTATCGACTTGAACAAAGCCGATACTGTTTAAATTAAGTGAAAAGTGTCTGATTTGGTCCCCAGGGTTTGGTTTTTTGGGGAGAGATTTTGGTGACATTCAAGGGTGTCCTCTTACTGCACTGACAAAAAACACACAATTAGAATTTATTTATTTATTTAAAACATCAGCAAACCCCACAATAAAGCGTCTTAATTATAAGTCAAGCTTATTTTACATAAACATTGTCACACATGAAAATGCATTTATTTATTTTATTATCACAAAATACATAACTGGCTTTACATATGACTAAATACTATAAATTAATTAACCTAATCAATGGTAGGATATATCATTGGCTTACAGTGTCTGCTTATAAGATGTCCTAAATGTGTCTTTAATTAAGAGGTAAAGCGGTTTATTCTGTGAGGTGTAATGCAGTGAGAGAAAAAAACTTCCCTCAAAACAAAACACAACTGTTGACATGAGTGAGTTAAATGAAATTGGAGCTGCAATTATCAGCTTAACAGAGTTTCCTGTCATGTTGGAAAATTAGACCTGGTACAAGTGCACTGGGGTTAGCCCCCCATCAAAATCATTACGCATTTCCTCAGAGGACCACCTCCACAAATGTGCAATTACGGCCTCGGCTTTTACAGTGCTCTGCTCGGTAAACACGACTTGGGCATATAGATGATTTGTTTTAGGGAAACCCTTTTTGTTTTTGTATTTCTTTCGCTGCAGGGCTGGAGTACATTATCAAACCTGGCCCGGCAGACAAACACGTAAACAAACAAAAGGAAGGATGTGTGCTACCTTGTGTGCCTGCTGGCAGGGAGGGGGCGCCATGACAGTGCTATCATTCAAGACACGATGTGACTCCGGATGAGTTGTTGCATGTGTTTTAGCGAATGACACCGTTTTAGAAGGCAGAGCAGCAGGTGAGTGTGCATCTCCACTGATCATGTCAGGCCTCATCTGCTGCTGCTCCTGTTACAAAGCGCCGTTTTTCTCTTTGGGAAATACTGTGGGCTGGACCTGATGCTGCCTCCCAGCTGCTGCCTGTGTGAGCATGTGTGAGTGTGTCACATTCACACATGCACACTTGCAAACTGTCCTTCTGACTTGTGCTTTCTGTCCTTGTAGACCAGAACAAACCAGTGAATGACACTGTTTTGCATCTTCTCTTTCCTTTACTGGATGATGAAGTGCAAATACCTTCTACCCTGCCAAGCAACAACTCAATTATTTTAAGTGGAGGTAAGAGAAAAAGCTACAAGAGTTGAGGACTTTTATTCCGTCTAGTTCATAAACACCATCTACTTTCCACAACCTCGGAGGATCCGAGAGTAGATTTTGTTTCTGCCAGGAGGGAGAAGTCCTCTCGCATGCCTTGGCCAGTAGTGGTGGGTCTGTGCTGGTACCCGCTGACCCCTGCCCTCTCATTAGTGGGACGTGGAGCAGTGGAGTACCGTGCTCCCCAGGTCATGTTACATATGGCTTGCAGTCTGCTGCGCCGCATTAAATGTCAGCTTTGAAACCATCTGAAAGATCAGAGGTCAGTGTTTTTAATAAGGCCAGAGTTCTGGGGGAGTTCCCTCTTTTTTACTGCTCACCCAAGTATGTTTTACATTGCATATTTGAAATTGTGGACAAAATGATCCACTAGATATGGGAGTGTCCTGATTTTTCACACATAAAGGGAGCAGAAAAAAAACAGCTAGCTGTATTCAGTCCCCATGAAAAACATACTACACATCTTCTGTGGGGGAACAATCGTGCTCCTTCCCTGTCTAATTTATAGGCACAATACAAAGGTGGAATTTGGAGTTTTCTGTGGCCCCCTCCCCGTGAGACCCACAGACCATGCTGCGAATGGGATATTGTTCTGGGCTCCAACAAAGCTGTTTTCACCCTCTTCAATATTACAGGAGGAGTTACCTGATACCTAACAATCAGCTAATCCACTGCCCATGGCGACGAGGTCACCTGTGCACAGGTAACTTTATCCCGGTTGCCTGCCTCTCCCTCCCTTTCCCGCTAGTCTCTCCCATTTTTTTTCTTCTCTCTCTGTGCCTCAACAGTGAGC